AATGGACGACTGAAACGAATTCTTGGCAAACAAACCACACATCAATATATTCCGCATGTATGTATATGTATGTACACACAGTCAGGGATCCAGAGGCTATTTCCTGCGAGATATTCACTTCTTTTCTGTTCCTATTGCCCAGACTGGGTTTTATCTCCCTCTGTGCAGTTTGAAAACAATAAAAGAAAAGCGATGTGTCTTGTTCAGTCACTAAATAGCTGTCTCGTTTGGCCCCCTAAGGTGGCTTCACATCACTGACTGCCCCATTCATCAGCCCAACACTGCAGACCGACCCACAACCTTCAAACTCCCAGAATAAAGAAGATAAATACCTCAGCCTGTGAGGAAGACGAGGGCAAACAAGGAGAGAGAGAGAGAGAGAGAGATCTGTGGAAGGACAGATGGATGGAAGGAGAATCAAATGTACTCAACATGACATATGCAACTTGTTACAAATTTAAACCTTAAGTCTATGTTGCTGCTATGTGAAAAAAACCCCAGCAAAACGCGCCGGCGCGTTTGCCGTCCCCAGAGGGTTAAAGGGCACCTATTATGCAAAATCCACTTTTACATGGTTACTGTGACAATGAGCGCTTATCAGGATCAACTAAATGCTGGATCTTCAGACTTCCAAGAGTTTAAAATGCCAATCTGTTATTTCAGGGACTTTGACATTTTCATGTCCCTAAACATGACACTGAACAAAACGAACAGTGTCATGTTGAAATTAAATGTTAAATAACATTAAATGTTAAATAACACTGGATAATCTTCCAATGACACTGAACAAAATCACTGAACAAAACGAACTGTGATTGGTTGCTGTACATGTCAGACGATCCTTGGCCAATGAAAGCTGTGATGGAGTCTGCCATCAGTCTGAAGGTCTGGCTAAAAACGAGACTAATTCCAAGGTCACAATGTAGATATAAATGTACAATACAACTAATAACACTATATTTGTATTTCTGCCCAGTTAAATAACTGAGGAGGACCATTATTAACAGCAGTGTTAACCTTTTTTTTTATATATACTGCCAGGAAAAGCAAAGAGATGTAGCATTTTTTTCACATCTACACCAGTAATTGTTGGAAAAACTTGATACTGGGAAAGCTAAGCTATTATGGAAACATCTGATTTAGTAGTGGAGCTACTTTTAGTTAGTTATTCCCTAACACTGGAGGATATTTGTGACTGAACTGACTGATATCTGTCCTGTATGGTAAGATAGACAGCATCTCAACTGGGCTGAAACCATTTAAACAGTCTCTGGAGCAAACACATTCCCTGACTGACAGAATCTGGATGCCTTTGACACCCCCCAACACCATTCATTATTATTATGTTTTTAACTATGCTGTATGGTTTTGTGGTGTGTTCATTGTCAAACTCAAAAATTACTTTACTTTTAATTATTACAAAATGAGATTATTTTATATGAAAGTTAATTATTGTATTTTATTGAGAAAATATTTCATATAGTCATACATTTCAGAAAATGTAGTCATATGGTCGTGTTACAATGAACCCCACCTATGGGGCATTTTGTCACATTTCACTTCCGTTCTATCAAGGTAAATCAAGAAAACAGTCTACACTGTATTAATGAAACAAAACCACATAATTTTACTAGACATGTGTAAAATGAATGTGGGAAAAAGTAGGTTTACACAAACCGAGAAAGTTAAAAAGTGTTAGGTTGTCTGTTCGCATCTCAAACAATGTGTTTTGGGGTTTCACAACCCTCACGACGATCTAAATGTGCGAGATTATTAAATGTAAAATAACACTGCATAATCTTCCTATATTTATTAATGAATCCTTATTAAAGTCATTCAGTCAAGAGGAGTGAGTGAGTGATGTTTTCTTTGTCTTATTCTTTTCTTTTATTAGGCTGCTGTCACTTTAAGAGTGAATGCACGGATCCAATATACTGATACCCATTCCCTGATAAACACATTCCCTGACTGATAGAATCTGGACCTGAACACTTTACCAAGCCTTTGACTTCTTTGACGCCTTTGACTTCTTTTCTCCCCCCGATCATCCACATCCCCCATGGCTCAGAGCCAGTAAACATCAGCCCAACCAGACAAAGAAGAGGTGGACCTGCAGATCCGCTGTACCCTGCAGACTCGGCCTGAGTTTAACACCATGTGGCAAACACTGCCTCTGACAGATGTTCCCTGACACTGCCAATCCTACCGGAGAAAAGCCCCATGCGTGCACGTTTGACTTTGTGATGTCATAATGACAGTGATGGTGGACGATGATGTGTGTGTGTGTTGTTGCCGTGGTAATGGATGGAGAAATAAATCAAATGAGATCTAGAGTCCTGCTGCAGTGTCATTAGGAATCGTGTCACGTGCCTCAGCCGAGGGCCAGCCGGAGGAATCTCAATTCCCCCTCGAGCTTTCAACACGGACTGGGGCTTGATGGATTGGATGGGAGAGGCGCAATGATAGGCTGATCTGCATCTGGATAGCATTGGTATTTTTTATTCTCCTCACACTCTCTCTCACACACACACGTTCTCCCGGTAAAAGAGGTTCAGTAGATAAGGTCATGTTGGTGTGTGTGTGTGAGAAAGAGAGAGGAGAGGTTTGGTAATGACCCTAGACATGTTGTACAATGCTGCATATTTCTCCTCCCAGCTGCCACTTTAATGAGTAGATAAAATGCCCTCAGCTGAATAATTAATACTCCGGCCCATTAACGAGGCATTAGAATGCTGGCTTCTTCTTATTGATTTTTTCTTCCCTGCCCACCGCTTTCTCTTTTTTTTCAGTATTTTAACTTGATACCGCTGTCTGAGCCAGGCGTGTTCGGGCCAGAGGTCTTGAATTGGTGGCTTTTGTCAGGTGTGTAATTATACATGTAGACTGACTGATCTAAGTGAGACTAAATGGTCATTCACACTGACACAAAGTGACATAAGATGTAATTCATTTTCAATGAAAGTTGGAGATTTCCAATGATCTCCAGCAACCTTTGGCAATGCAAAAAAAGCTCAACATTATGAAATTTTGCACTTATGATCATCAATCCAAATGAAATCAATCCGTTTCCAGATTCTAAAATTTCAGTTTCAGTGCAATCTGATTCACATACTCCAGGGTTTCTCAACTCTGGCCCTCGAGAGCCACTTTCCTGCAGAGTTCAGCTCCAACACTACTGAGGGCACGTTCGGTTTACACGACAACGATCTGCTTACAACGGAGAAGTTTGAGTTTTCCGCGTACAGACGACACCATCGTCAAAACAATCCCGTTCACATGGACCCGCGAGAACGACTAAAAACGCTGTATTCTGCTGCCAGGCCATTAGATGGCGATGAAACACTTACGCATGTGCATGACGTTATCGTCTTTACAGATTCGTGTTTTTGTTGTTTACACGGAGACCGTTTTCAAAAACTTGCACTTTGAAACCCATTTTCAAAATGTTTCATTTTCAGAAACCCAGAAAATGGCGTTTTCATGTAAACGAACGGCCAAATAGCATAAAAGTTTCGTGTAAACAGCTCCTAAAACACCTGATCAAGCTAATCAAGGGCTGTGTCCGAAACTGAAACTCTCTTGAGTACGTACTTATTTTGAATAAGAAAAAAAGTAACAAAAAAGTATGTTCTAAATAGTATGATTGTAATCCGGACATACTACATTCGCCATTTTGTCAGTTGCGTCGCTTCACTGCCATTCACAAATCCGTAGTATGCACTTCAGAATCTCACTGGAAGTAGTAGTCATCCGGGTTTTTGCCTACTTTTTTGAGTACTGTGAATTCGGACATATTACTCTTGTCACAAACAATTTTTCGCCTCCTGTATAGTAGGGAAGTATGCGATTTTGGATGCAGCCCATCCCTGCGTCCTAGTGGGCATCCTAAATAGTATGTGAGATTAAAATGTGTGTGTCCCAAAGAATAGTACGTTTAAAAGCGTATGCCAAAAGTCCCTGGTCTACTATTTCTGGTGGATTTTCGAAGTGTGGATCCATGCTATCTATGCGAAGTGTGGATCCACTATAAAGGCTAATATTGCCCACAATCCACTGCACTTTAGAGGAGGTTTAGTTTCAGAACTACAAATAAAAAGTGTTAAAAACTACAAACATGGCGGGTGTGCGTGACGGGCGGTTAGAGAGGTTTAGATAACAGGGCTTGAGTGACTAATAATCAACATTTAAACTGATAATAAACCTTTATTTAATGTTATCCGTGTTATATTTCATCTGCAACAACGATGTGAACTTTTATAAAGATCTGTTTGGTCATTAAGAAACTGGGAGATGAAAGCACAGGTAAACAAAACTTGAAAGATCCAAAAAGGTCATGAAAGCATCGTAAAATGAATCCATATGAATCAAGAGGTTTAATCCACATCTTAAGTCATTTATTCACATTCTCGATTCATGTGGATTAATTTTACTACACCTTTATGACCTTTTTGGATTTTCTATGTTTTGGTGACTGACCTGTGCTTTCAGTGGAGGGACAGAAACCTCTCATGCTTAATGAAAATATATTAATATCTTAACCAAAGTCAATCTTTTGGGCTTGAAACAACACGAGTAAATAATGACAGAATAAAAAAAAAAATTGGGTGAACTAACCTTTTAAGACAAGGTGTTTAAGACAATTTTCTAAAGTTTTCAAACTCCAAAGTTTTGATTCAGACATGGAGGAAGATCAAAACACTGAACTTTTCACCAGTTATTCGGGAACAGACCCAGTATTTGACATGGGAACTGACTCTGGTTTATCCTGTAAGACCAAAGCGAAGTCAAATCCTCAGGTCACAGAGTCTCACACAAAATCAATTCATATCTGAACAGAAAGGAACAGAGGTTGAGGTATTGATATCAATAGCACACATCATCTGACAGGGACTCACCCTCCTCCGAACACTCACGGACACACGGAAGAGGAAAAGCGGGTGTAAAATGCTGAGTAAGGGAGGATAGAAATGTGTAAGAGAGATGAAGGAGATAAATATTACCAGTGCAGGTTGTTGAGCAGGGCAACTGGTCGATAATGAATGTGCCCCATTACAGAGCGGGAATAAGAGACTTGTGCTGACACCAGCATCTTCCTCCAGATCTCCTGCACATCTGATAAGCCTACAGTCAAACACACACACACACACACACACAGCAGACAATCTTCTCTAACATTTAAATCAACGTGCAGATGAATGCCGTGTTGCTTACCATGATTTATGATTGTTTAGGTCACGCTCTTGGATCAACATTCCTATGAAACAATGAGATTTAAGTTAACCTTTCATTTCCCACTGGTTTTAGGGGTAGTTAATGGCTAGGGTGGGAGTTACAACTAACTGTAGGCCTAAAACTAACTTTTGACACACATGCCAATAGCTGGTGACTTCCATTATTATTGGTGACTAGTAGCCATCATTATTTTTTACTGCAAAAACAGGCAGTATTGACAACTAAATTTTAGATACCAGTGACAATTCACAATTTTCTATTCTAGTTTCGATGCCACAGCTAAAACTACTAGCCTAACTAATATAAATGTAAAACATTCTTAAAGACGAGTAAACAGGCTGTGATAAAAAAAGACCAAAGTACAAGCAAAAGCACAAATAAATACAATATAGCAAAGATGCTAATGAAATAAACAGTGCTTTTCAGATTTTCAGGTACAGAACTTTTAAAAAGTAAGCAAATGTAAAATAACACTATAGTCTTCAAATCTTTATTAATTAATCCTTATTAAAGTTACAAAAGTTATTCAGTCAAGCGGGGAGTGATTTTTTTCTTTGTCTTTTTCTTTTCTTTTATTAGGTTGCTGTCACTTTAAAAGCGAATGCACGGATCTAATATACTGATACTGTAACACATGTGTTTACTTTCTCAACAGTTTACATTCCATTAAGACATAACCAACTCACTATTTTTTTACCATTTTGTGTGAATTTGTCCACTCAAGCGCAAGACCTGAACTCAGTTTAGTATTTGCGCTCTGTATGAGACACGCTTTCTGTGCACACACTAAACTTTCCACATAGCACGCTAGTAACAAATTGAGTTCCCTATCGCATCTTCTTGCACTTGAATATTTTAATTGTCAAGCTTAAACTTTCGTGATGATGCAGCGCTGGCCCGTCAACTGTCCCAAGCATCATTCATATTTGTTCACGATTAATGCATTGTTAGATAAAATGTTACCAACTGGCGAGTGGCGTGTTAATTTTAGGCCTTGGTTTTCCAGTTACTGTAGTGTCAGGACTAACATGCTGATCACACCTTTCCTATCTCTTTGTTAATACAGTTTCTGTGCTGAGAGACGTGTGGATTGGCAGCCAGCCTTGAATGACGGCCAGGTGTTTTATAGTATCTATCAGTCTGATCATCCATCAAAGCGATCGATCACGATCCCAGGGGTTTATTAATGATCCTGTCAGCCGGAGCTCCACCGTGCTCGTAGTTGTCCAGGATGATAGATCTTCAGCCAGTCTGCCTGTTATTTATTCTCACATGACCTTGTCCATATCTATTGTTGAGCACACCAAATTATGAGTGCTGGGACATGATAACTCAGCGTTCATCTTCCCGTTTCCAAAAATGTTGAGCTGGAGTGTCAGATCATTAATAAAACCAAATGCACAAGCATTATTGCATTAAAGGCCTCGCACAGAGTTATGTGAATCACTAGTCTCTTTAAAGTCAGCATGCATTGAAAATTCACCCTATCTATTGTATAAATGCATATGAACAATTCATCTGTGCATATTAGTGCCGTCAATCGTTTTTTTTTTTTTTTTTTTGGATCAATCGCACATTTTTCTGTAATTAATCGCGATTAATCGCACCTAACATTAAAGTTTTAATTTATTTTTATATTGTAATAATTTCACATTTAATCTCCAAATAATGAGTGTAGAAACAACAAAGACCGTGCATTTTAAATATTTGATCTGAATTTTTTTTTATTGAATTCAGTCAAGAGCAGTTTTCTATGGAAGCTTGTTTCCGCCACAGAATGAAAAATAAAAAGGGTAATTGCGACTTTTCATCTCACAATTCTGACTTTATTTCTCAGAATTGCGAGATATAAAGTCAGAATTGCGTGATATAAAGTGGCAATCGTATGTTATAAAGTCAGAATTGCGAGATATAAAGTCAGAATTGCGTGATATAAAGTCGCAATTGCGTGATATAAAGTCAGAATTGTGAGATATAAACTATTCTGAGGGGAAAAAAGTCCATCTTTCTTTTCCTTAAAACTGGCCTGATAACTCGCAATTGCGAGTTTATATCTCACAATTATGAAAATATGTCAAAATCTCGAGATATAAACTCGCAATTATGTGTTATAAAGTCAGAATTGCGAGATGTAAACTCGCAATTGTGAGATAAAAAGTCTCAATTCTGTCTTTTTTTCTCGCAATTGCGACTTTATCTCTCAGAATTGCGACTTTATATCTCGCAATTGTGACTTTATTTCTCAGAATTGCGACTTTATATCTCGCAATTGCGACTTTATTTCTCAGAATTGCGACTTTATTTCTCACAATTCTGACTTCATATCTCGCAATTGTGAGATAAAACGTCACAATTATTATTATTTTTTTTTTTATTCAGTGGCGGAAACTCTAAAAAGTGTTCTGCTCTTCTGTTCACCAAGGTAGCACTGAATCAAAAACAACAGTCATAACTGTACCCGTGACGGCAAAGCCAGATTCTCACATTTTCTTCTTGAAGGTTTTTAAGAAGTTGTTCAATAAGTCTCGACTGTAAGCATAATTGTCTAATGTTTGGCAGGAACACAATCTCTGTGAACTGGATTAAACTGCATTCACATACCTTATCTAAATGGACACAAAGATGAAACAGGTATAGAGAGAATATGACAAATTATAGCTATTAATTGGACATTGTTTGGGGAACAAATCTACCCACATCAAAATCAATAAATATGTACTTTACATTAAATTAAAATGACCAGACTCAGGTCAGATTTAGGCTCATTCAGAGTTCCTAAAGGCACGACGAGTGCTTGAACAGCGCAGAAGAAAAGTACATTGAAAACCATTTGAAATGGGTCATTATCATATGAGTGAAATATGAGGTACAGGGTGGAAATCTCGTTCACCACGAACACACTGTAAAGTTTCAGGAGTGACATCATTATTATTTTCTCACTTTAATGATAAAACTCTGTACGACAATTAGCCTACTTTATAAATTAATCAAATTTAGCTTGTATCTCCATATTTCATATAGTCAGTTTTTTGTGATCAATCAATTGATCAATTTATAAAAGAAATGTGCATTTAAATAGAAATAAATAAATAAAGTTTTTATAGAAAAACTACTTTCTTTGTCCATTTTCCACTGTGGTACAGCGTTTCCATATATCAACGTACACCCAAAAAAAATTAGTTTTTTTGTTTACACTTTATTTTAAGGTGTTATTGTTACAGTGTAATTATATATTTTAGTGCTGAGTAATATTAATGAACTACATGTACTTACTTTAGGGTTAGGGTTTGGTTGAGGGTTAGTTGCATGTAATTATGCATAATTTACAGTAATTTCTATGGTAAGTACATGTAACATATATAGCAAGGACACTGTAAAATAAAGTGTTACCTATTTTTTTATGTAATACAAACTTATTTGAAAAAATATTTCATGGTTAGAACATATGAGTTAGAGGGTTAATTTAATGTGTTGCTGTTTCTTTGTAATTCTTAGTAAAAATTCAGATTTTTTTCAGTGTACTTTAGTTAAGAAGACCCGTCTCGTTCCCTGTTATGTGAATCCTGGTTGTGGAACTTGACTGTTTATTTCTTCGCTCACTGTATGTGAAAGCTGGTAATAAAAAACCCACAATAAGAACCAAGTAGAGTCCAGTTGAATGTTTCTCTTGTCTCTTGTGGCCCTCACAGGGCCCAGGGGCCCAATAAGCATCCATCTGCAGACAGCCCACTACAACACGCTTCACTGGACATCCATGCAAGCCAGGGTGTTTGTAAGTGTGTGTGTGTTTGTGCACTCTAGTATGTCTGACTGGAGCTGCAGACGTTTTATCATTCTCGAGCCGTGGGGAGCAACTTTCCCCCACGCAAATACACAAAAACAATCTTCACAATCAGTGCTGTCACCACATCCAGCCGTTCCTGTGTTCTTCTGTTTGTGTGCCACCTTTATATTCTCCTGTCCGACACCGAGACCCATCCATCGTCCTCCACGCGGACAGACATCGATCCAGATCTCTCTTAATCAGCTCTCTGGAGCTCTCTCTTCTTCCTGCTTGACTGCCTCTGTTCATTCAACATCTATTTTACCTCCGTATCTTCTGGATTCCTGTGCTGGAGGTTCAGAGTCTCTGTCAGTCTCTCTCTCTGGACGCGTCGAGTCGTGATGTGAGGCGCTCGGAGGAATCCTGGTGATTTATTACAGGGAAACTGCAGCGCCGTCAGTTCATTTATACACACACTCAGAAACAGAAGGACGCTGCCCAGTGAGGCGCAGAAACGGGTTCAATAGTGGCTAAACTGTTCGGCGCACAAAAGTAAACAAAAATGCGCTCAAAATCAAAGATTGAAATTTACAAATATTAACAATATGCACAATTATTTAAGAATACACTGTAAAAAAGCAGCGTGCTTATCACTTAAAAAACATTCCGTTAAATTTACAGTAAAAAACTGTCAGCTGTGGTTGCCAGATATTAACAGTAAAAATACGGTAGCAACTTTTTAGGTTTTAAAGACTTAACTTAAATTAAATTGTATTTCATTATCTGATATAATGTTAATTTACCGACATATTGAAGTACTAATTTCTTTTAATACACTGGCAACAACCAATCACAGTGGTTATTAGAGTCACATGATGAATTAAAGCTCATCATTAGTAGCTTTTCCACTATAGCTGAGAAAGTTATTACTAATATATAGAAGCTGCACATGTCAAACACTAAACACCATCATGGTAACACACATGACAATTTTAAAAATGCAATAAACATGAATTTAACAACATTAAATGTAACAGATATCATTACTGTCAATATTTTAATGTACAACGTAATTCGAGAACTGATTCGAGGGGAATCAGAAGGCCAAATCCTGACTGACGAGAGG